CTCAGAACTGTACTAATTTTAGTACACCCTTATGAACTTTAGCATACCACATTGGTCCATCCATACAAAGTGTCTCCTTGCTATTAGTTCTTTATTCATATTTTTCTCCTAAGATAGAAAGATATATAACAATATGTTCAAAAATAGGCTATCCCTGAAAATAAGCTATCCCATTTTTTAAAATTCAGAATTTTATATAAATTTCAGATAGTGATTAATAAATGAAACTCTGAAAATAAATTATCCCCTTATTTTTCAAGTTTAAAATTTTGCAAAAAAGGGTAACTTATTTTCGAATATATATAGTAATTATAAATAAGTCAATATTATTAATTTATAGTTTAAATTAGTTTATTAATATTTTCAAGAAGTTTGTATTAATTGTTTTGTATAATGAATTAGATTAATTTTAATTGATATAAAAATTTACTTTTAATATATAATTGAGAAAAACAGAAACAATTATTAATTTGTTTGTTATTTGAATTTAAAATATAATATATTCTACTTAAAATGGATTATATTTAACTTTAATAAAGTTAATGTAATTGTTTTTTAAATAGGTTCATATTTTGATTTTGAATTAAAAAGGTTCATATTTTGATTTTGAATTAAAAAGCAATAAATTATTGTATAGGATTGATAAAATTAGTTTGAAATGGTGCCTTTAGTAATAAAGTTTTATCAATATAAAGCTTTTTTCAGATAAGTTTGGATAGACTACTAAATACTATTATATTGTAAAAAATTTTAATATTTGAATAGTAAAGAAATAGAACTATCTTTTTGTTTATTTATAAATTTAATTTATTGAAATATTATAGTTCTCAATATTAAAGAACAAGGGTTGTCAAATATTAATTTTGTATTTTTTTGCAATATTTGCTATAAGAGTTAATTAAAAGTTTTTAAAGAAATAAAAAAAAACTCTTTCTGCTTAGCACTCGCATTTGAATAAAATTACCATAAAAGGAAATACAAAATTTCTTTACAAAAAAAAACCTTTAGAGACCCTGGAGGAACTTCCTCCTCCAAGGTTTCCCCTAGTAACCATGAGCACATTCTCCTGGACGTGCTTATCACTGATACTCAAAAACCTGAAGCAGTTATAATTTACAAAAACACAAAAACAAACAAAATCACTATCTCTTCACCAAACTCTACTTTCAAACTCCCAAAACTTGGCAATATCCCCCAATCATGGCTCACACCAGTACGCTCTGTTACTGAAGGTCCTGAAACACCTGAAGTCATTGTCGCCACCTTCGAAATATACCAAAGAACCAGAATTTCTACACCAATTACCTTGGTTAATATTGCATATTTGAATCCCATGCCAGCAGACTCCCTTAACGCCTTCCTTGAGTTCCAAAACGTTTTTGAAATCACTGACGAAGACAGAACCGAAATAATGAAGGAAATAATGAAAAAACATCTAAACTATAAATTATATATCCCATGGAATAGGCTTGACATTATCTTTTCAAACTCCGACAACACTTTCTTGCTAAAACAAAAAATCGAAATGCCCAGACCCCCTTCAAACACACCTGCCCCAAATGAAGCAATGATTGACGACAATGAAATGCAGGACGATTGTTCTTCTGAAACTTCTCATGCAGCACACCCTGAACACAATATAGATCAAACCAGTTCACATGCAGATGCATGCATTGTGCATGATCCAACTCAAATTAGTCCACCCATGCCTATACAACCTAACACTAGCACTGAAATGGAAATTGATGAACATCCCTCCCCTAGCCAATCAGTCAGGACCATAGAATCCTCCCAAATTTCTTGGGCAGATGAGATTAACGAGCACCTTGA